TGTTTGAATTTACAAAAGAATACTTATTCCTTAAAAACTAATCTCAATGATGGTTATACTGCAGGGTTTCCATGGCAACAGCATCCTCTCAGGTGCTGATACCAGAGATCAACCTGAATGACACCTTTGACACTTTTGCGCTAGACTTTTCCAGGGAAAAGAAAATGCTGGAGAGTCTGGACTATCTCACGGGTAAGATACAACATTATAATTGTGAAAAAAAGTGATAATTAAAATATCTCCAGTTTATCTGTGTCTTTGTTGAGGGCCTTGATAACCTGATAACTTGAGTTATCTTGTAATATTGTTTTGGGATTCTGCTTCAACTTCCCTTTTTTAACTTTCCACAGACACCCATGTACAAGTCATGCTATAAATCATTATTATTATTTAGTTTTAGTTTATTCCAGACCAACCACTTGTTAACTGATAGCTAGCTTTCCTGATTTCAGTCCTAGATACACTACCTCATATTTTCCACTTTTATCCTAAAGTTTTTGTTTCAATTGTTTCATTTCTGTTGATCTACCAATAGTCTTCTTTTACTCTGTATCTTTCAGGATTCAACCAGTATCACATACCATGAGAGTCTCTTTTGTTAACTGAAGGTGCATGTACTGGGCTAGAGTTTTGTCTTCGGTGTTGAGTTTAATTATTATAAGCCTTTTCTTACCATCAACACTAAAATTGAACTGAAATTCATTCCACTTTATGCCCATTTCACAATGTTTCACTTATGTGACAGCATCATGGAGAGCTGTCACCTAGCATCAACACAGAAATCTCTATTTTTCCAGCTCCAAATCCTCCAGGAATTCGAGAAGAGCTGTGCACCGCATCTCATGACACAATCACTGTTCACTGGACCTCAGACGACGAATTCAGTGTTGTCTCCTATGAACTTCAATATGCCATCTTCACAGGGCAAGCCAATGTAGTCAGTAAGTATCCAGAACTTTTTTGTTGTCACTCTGCTCTAGTTTCTTATTGTATATGCCCACCAGCCTCTTTACCCTGTCCTATTGTCTTTAGGTTATTATCTCCCCTTTAGTTCCTTTCTAAAGTAGGAACCAATAGTTTTCATGGATCATAAGCGTGTAATACAAACAAAAGAAGGACATTGAACCCATTTGGAGCATCTCCTTTGTTTGCCAGTAGCTATGTGATCAAGGATCCCATTCAACCATTCTTGGAAGAAACAAGGGTATCAGCTTTGACGAAACATCTGGGTAACACAGACTTCACAGGGCACTTTACTTTAATAGTATAATCAAATAAAGAAAACCATATTTTATGTGTGACACAGAACCACAAGTTACATGGCGAACAATAGTCTGCTTTTGTATTTCTGCCCCGTGTTTTATTTGCCAGGAACAGAGTGGGCAAGCCCCCTCCACTTTTAAAAGTGGGTGGTCCACAGCTCCATCTGCCCTCCTGGCTCCAGTGCCCCTGGTTTGCATATGTATACAATGTAATATTCCATATTTCTGGAAGCATCTGGTTTTCCAAATGACACAATTTCCAGCAGTGGATACATGGGCAAACTCTTCTCTCACTGATGTTTCTTATTATTCCTTCAGAAGTAAAAGTCTGTTCCTCAGTCTCTGTGTGGTTCGGGGTGAGGGATGGACCTTTTTTCCTCTCTTACTGCTTTGCCACTTGACATGTTGCAGACAGAAGCCATGTTTATGCTCTCTACAACTGCAGTGAC